CTGACTGACTGAAGTTGATAGTCTGCAGTGGAACTTTGATACCCAGGTTTGAAGTAAAACATACACTTTTCTCCTCTGCCACTCAGTACCATTCTGGACCATAATGTGAGTGCTTGACAAAGCCAGGATCTGAAACAGTCCCATGACAAGATCCAGCGGGTTCAGAAGGAGGATGTAGGATCTATCGATTAGTCTTAGATAAAGTTTTGACAGTGGTTTCAATTCTGGTAGGATCAAGTCTTCAGACACAGAAGCATAACTTGTGCTTCATCTTCTGTGACCATATAGAAAAGTAATTGCATCTTCCCAAGTGTTCTGACCAGAGTGAAACAGCTTTAGGATAGCTAAGGCCATTAAGTTATTCTATTGCAGTTTTTCACACCATATATCCTATATTATAAAAACTGAGTCAACATGAAAATGAAAATTTTCTGTTCATTTTAGGGTTTACTTTGGAATTAACCTTTTTGTGGTTTGTCTTTTTCCTCCCAGCTGTTTTGCTTCCTATTTACTGCAGATGGTTTTTATTGGAATGTAGCTGTCCAGAAATTGATGCTTTTGAAGGCAGAGTAGATAGATAGATACACAACTGAACTCTACTAAATGGCCTGCTCTGTTCACATGAGGTTCTTTAAATAACAAAGAGCAGAAAGCAAATACTGAACATTCATGTGGGTCTTTGTCATTTATCATCTGCAGATTATAGTGTTCTTGAAACTATGAAAGATAAAGCCGTGACAGGATGTAAAATGAAGGCAATATTCCTTTAGGGATCTTTTTTGTGTAAATTGCTGTACAAGCAATTAATTGTCATGGCTCCCAAGAGGTAGACAGATCACCTGAACACCCTTAACACTTTGAATATAAAACTATATATATAAAACTATATAGCAAGACGTGGTTTTGAAATATGTACTATTTCTAGATTTTTATAACTTTGGAAGAATCCCTTCATGGCTGAAGCATGGTGGAAGCATCCCTTGCATTGGCAAGCCTCCCATTGATTTCAGAAGTTCCTGATAAAATCCACTGATTTTATGAATCAATTAGAAAATCCCTTTTTGGACTACAAACAAAAAGAAAGTGATGTTTACTATGGAAAATTCAGAATCAGACTTCAAACACTCTGCACATGGGTTTATTTGAAGAATGATTCACTGTTGAAATAGCTGGAGTTGTTAGCAAGTACATGTTTAAATCATCAGAATTGCAGTGTAACCAGAAATGCTTAGAACTTTGAAATTTCAGCTAGATAATGAAAAAGAAGTGATGAACTTACTGTCCCTTATTTGAACTCACTGAATGAGAACGCTATGATGCTATAGGAGCCTGACAGTACTCGGCTGGACAGAGGCACCAATGTGGTGGCGTTAGTAAGGGTGTTGCTTGTTTCTTTCTTTGCAAGCTATTGCTGTTGGCTGCTTTTGATACAAAATGCAGCAGCAGCACCTAAGTTTGTTCAAGTTATAGGTCTCCTTTGTACTATTTTTGCTACTATCAGTAGTATAAAGTGATAAAGTGAGCCCTTTCCTGAAGTGTAAAGTTTATTTAAAGAAATGCTTAATATTCCAAGCCTCTCATACTGAAATTGTCAGGAACTACAAACCTCTTGGTAAATATTCATGTTTAGGTTAAGCACATCCTTTCTACTGCAAATAAACTCTCTCTATGATATGCTTAGGCTATTCTCAGTGCAGATTTCCTTCAGGAAACTCTTGGGGAGACTCAGCAGGATCACAGCATGGATTTGACCGTATGTTTAATTTTATGTGCAACTCTGATATTAGACACTTGAAGGTCTTTAAAGTACCATTCCTCCTTAGTCTGCATACTAAAATCCCTCACTGAAATTAAAACTGGGAGGGTAACTATGGGATTCCAAACCTTTTTCTTTAAATAAGAAATATAATGCTAATTAAGTTGTTATTTTTTATAAAATATTTTATTAAGAATAATAAGAGTAAACAAGGTTACAAAAATACCAACTTTATTAACTAATGAAGAGGCCGTTAATTACAGAAGATTTATAATACAAGTTATAACCACAGTGTTCCCTTTTCATTAGGCATTCAGTTGGATGTATTTAATGGGAGCGTCATTTTTCCCACTTAAATATAAAAAAATACTCCCTATCATACACTGAATTCCACAGGCAGCTCCCTGAAGTTAGATCCCATGCAAGGAAACATCATACAAAAATGCCCAAAGCTATGTTTAAAAAGGAACACTGTAAAATTTTAGGGTGAAAAGACATGTTAGTTCCTGCCAGCAGCCCCAACATTCATAAAACAATATTATACCAGTGCACATGAGGGAGGAAGAAAATAATTGATAAGGAAACAAGGCTAAACAACCAATCCAATAGGTTTCATACAGGTTCCAAGGGGGTCAACTAGTTTACAACCAATCTTCCAGAAGGATGGCAATAAAGCCTCGCCTCCTGCTGCAGTTGCTGTAGAGTTGAGAATCTGTGTGCTTTTCAGTGTACAAGGATGCATATAGTTCAGTGCAAGGCCATAACAAAAAGCACTGAGCAACATTTAGCCCCTCCCTCTTTTGACAATCACATTCACTGATTTCAAGGGACATTTTGCCTGAGTAGGTTTTGACCCTCAGAGATATATACGGACCCTCGTCTGAAAAGCTCTAACTGGAGTAGCTCTGTCAAGTACATTGGCATCACCTGCAGTAAGGGTTTGCAGAATGCCTCAGAGAATTTTAATCTTAAACTAGAGAAGAAGATTTCAGCAGTAGCAGCAAAAATCTAGACCAGTACATTCCCAATGAGAGCTACAGTTTCTCTGAGGGTCATGAGGTTTATGAGAGAACAAGAGACAGGGAAAAAAGCTTTTCTAAGGGAAAATTGTTTTCATTAATGAAAGGAAGAAGCATCAGCCAGTTCCAATGCCCAAAGAAAATCAGTAATTAAGCTGAACTAACTTCAGTAGCACAAAATCACCTCTTCGATTTTAATTCAAAAATTTTATATCTGGTTTTTACACTTTTCAGAGACCTAGGATTATTTACAGCAAAGAGAATGAAGATGAAATTCAGTGGAATTTAAGAATGTTCTTAGATAAGAATTTAAGTTCTGTACTCTTTAATTTTAATATGAATAAAACCACATCTACAAGGTAAAGTCCAGC